GAGCGTCGCCAACGGGTAAGTCTGCAAGACAAATGGGTGAGCAGGTATCGGTGTCCGTTCCAGAGCCAAAAGGGTCGTCGCAGCGTTGCTCTGACGAACCCCACGCGATAGTTGCCGCGGGTTGGGTGCAATTGGCACCATCCGGCCAGCAATTGTGGGGCCGGGTGCTCCTGCGTTGCCATTTCCGGGCCTGGAAGCGTTGAGGATTCGCCTGGCTCCTGGTCGCCTCAGATGTCGCTGGGCTCGGCCGCCAACGCGTCGCGCGCGTCTGCGTGGATGGTGCCGGCATTTCAGCCATTGAAGATGCCTCCGGCTTTTCTAGGACAGCGATCAGCTAAGTGTCCATAGCTGCGCATTCGCTCCAATAGTGCGGGGCATATGTTGGTTTGGTGGCTGTAACACTTGTAATGCTCGGGAGGTGTCTACCCGCAAAGCTCGGAAAAGTAGGAACGTCAGGATGTGGAAGTTCGGTGCGTTGGAACCAGGCGCATTTGCCTCCAGTCTGGCAATTTCAAATCGTGCTAATACCGCATCGATTCGTTCGCTCCTTTCGACCCTGAAGTCAACAAAGGCGGTGCCCGAGGTGAGCTGCCGCTCATCCTCGAGATTTTGGACATTGGTGCTGAGGAGGTACCTGATGCACGAAACTCCGTCGGTGTGTCGACCCTGTAGGGTTGCACCGTAGTTGGGAATGGTAGACGGCACCCTCATAGCAAAGGTCCTGGCTAGGCCTCCAAGGCTTCGCTGCGTTGCTGCAACCTGTTGCGGTGCAGTCGTGGCTCCACTTGTTCCGTTGGGCCACGCATGTTCTTCGCGAGCGGGTTCGCGGAATGTTGCGTTACCTGCGGGGTCCAACAGGGGACATGTGGTACGTGTGTCGTCCATCCCCCTAGCATGTACCCCACTGCTGGCCCAACACACACACACACACCGATATGATGCAAAATATTGTTACTTCGACGTAGCGCATGTCCATGTTGTAGTTGGTCTTGTCGTGGTCGTTGTGTTGTTGAGCTGACGTGTCCGTCAGTCTGCGGATGGGTGTGGGGTTCGTGCTGTTGTATAGCGTGCGGCCAGTCGATGGGGAGATGGAGGTATATGATCGTACATGTCAAATTGGTTGGTGGTTGGCGGGGGTGCAGTGGCTGATAGCCAACGCAATTGGATGTTTGGAGTCCCGAAACGGTGCGCTGACAGACCGTGCGGTAATCTCGAAATCCCCCAATACCTCACCGCACGGTCCGTCACCGCACGGTTTTAGGACCCCGGAGGCCCCTGTCGCCCGATACATCCTCGGAGAACGACCCGGGTCCCCAAACCGTGCGGTGACCCGAATCCCGACCGACTCACCGCACGGTGTGGTCACCACCCCGTTTGGGGACCCCCGAGGATGTCCCAATGCGCGATGGTAACCGGTATGTGCATAACACATCGTGTACGAGCCAACCACATGAAGATGATGCCAGCTCCGCTACCACGTGCAAAGCGAGGGTCAGGAGGGCGTAAGCCGAGACCCCACTTATAGTAACGTCGCAAAGGGTCCATCGCATCCCATAATTAAACCCATTTGTGGACGTCTCCTTCTCTGTTACTCAGGTGCGCTCGCGCGCGCGCAACGGATGGCGCAGTCATATAGAGCGACGTCGCTTGAGCCAAAGCGGCGTCAGACGTAGGCACAATGCTCGCTATGCTCGCCTGTGACTTCCGTTCAATGTCCGCCCCCCCCCTCTACTAGCAGACTACCGCGTGCATCCCCCTATTTTGCGAGGCGAGGGTTGTGCACTTCAGCACGGCAGCTCATGCCTACATCTCCATTCCACGCGTGCCCGCTGGAGGATGGTGCACTTCCCACATGGCAGGTAATGCCTGAACCCTCATTCCATGCGCGCCCGCTCGAGGATCGTGCACTTCCCGCATGGCTGCTAATTCCTAGACCTGTCATCCCAAGCGCACCCGCTCGAGGACCTGCATTCGCATGCCTTCAAGACTGCCCCAGATGTCTCCAAGCGGGCCCAAAAGTGCCTCAAGAGGACCCTAAACAGGGTCCGACCAAACCAACCTCATTCATGTCTCTGGGGTCTTTGAGGCATGTTCGTAGTCTCGCCTTTTCGGACTGCCGTGAGCTCAAGATGGCCCACGAAGCCTCCACGGTGGCCCCAAGACAACCCAGGAGGCCCCAACGATGGCCAGAAAGGGCTCCACAATGGCCCAGGCGGCACCCAAAACGGACCCAGGAGGACCCGTGGGACCCAAGACTGCCTTAGAAAGCCCATCGACGGCCCAAGACGTCTCCCAGGCGGCCCCCAAGCACCCACCATACGGCCAAGAGGGCCCCAACGCGGCCTAAGAGAGCCCCAAGACGGCGTGAGAGATGCCCAACTATGGCGCAACAAAGCCCCAAGACTACCTCACAAGGAACCAAAGCAACCCCAAAACGGACCAAACTGGTTTCATGAGAGCTCCTCAAATAGCGAAGACGAAAGGTGTCATATGAGACGGCCATTTTCCCTCCTGCTTAAGCGTTTCCTGTTCCTCCTGCTCCTCCTCCTCCTCCTCGTCATCATCATCATCATCATCATCATCATCATCATCATCACCACCACAACCACAAGTATCATCATCATCAGCAGCATCAGCATCAGCAGCACCATCATCATCACCATCAGCATCCCCATCACCATCGTCATCATCATCAGCATTATCTTCATCACCATCACCGCCATCGTCGTCATTCTCATCATCACCATAATCAGCATACTCAACGCTATCATCATCGCCATCGTGTTTGTCATCGGCAGCGGCATCGGTACCTTCGTCGTCGCCGCCGTCGTCGCCGTCATCAGCATCATCAGCATCGTCATCGTCATCGTCATCATCATCATCACCATCATCATCATCATCATCATCATCATCAGCATCATCATCATCATCATCATCATCATCATCATCATCATCATCATCATCATTATCTTCAGCCTCATCATCATCAGCAGCAGCATCATCAAACCTATCATGATCGGCATCATCATCGTCATCGGCGTCATCATCACCATCAGCAACGGCTGCAGCCTTATCACCACCACAACCCCCACCATCCTCATCATCGGCATCATCACCACCACCGCCACCAACCACCACAACCATCATCACCATCACCACCATCACCATCATCACCATGACCAGCACCACCACCATCATCAACATCATCATCACTATCACCACCACCACAAACATCACCATCATGACACCATAGTCACCATCAGCATCATGACAATCCTCAACATCATCATATTACGCATCATCATATTCATCACCCGCATCACCATCAGCATCTGCATTACCATCCGGATCATCATCATCAGCAGCATCATCGTCATCGACGTCGTCGTCATCAGCATCATCATGATCATCAGCAACAACATCATACACATCAATGCCATCAACATCATCGTCGCCATCATTAGCAACATCGTCATCATCATCACCACCATAACCATCACCATCACCATCATCGTCATCATCATCGTCATCATCCTCCTGATCCTCATCCTCACCATCATCATCATCAGCATCATCATCCTCATCATCACCAACATCAACGACATCATCATCAACATCATCATCACAATCAACCTCCTCATCCTCATCCCCATCACCCCCATCATCCGCATAATCCTCATCACGGCTCCCCCAAGACTGAAGACAAGATCTGCCACACGTGACAGCCTCCCGTGCACCCCCGAACAGTAGACACCCATAATGCTGGCCTTGTGCGTTGGCGGGACTTGTCGCATGCAACTGGATATGTAAACGGCACCACTGGGCTCGTGTCCTATCGTATGTGCGTCTGGGTCAATCACATATCAGAAAAACCATCGACACTCAACTGAACCGCTTGAACATAAACTGGGAACGACTGAAGATACGGAATGTGGGAGAGGAAAGGGACGGGGAGGAGGGGGAGACCGAGACCGAGAAGGGCGAGCAAGGCCAGGAGCAAGATCAAGGGGAAGAGACGCCGGATCGGGATCAGGAGGACAATCAGCAGAAGGAACTGGAACAAGAACAAAATCAACCTCCGCATCGGCAGCAGCAGGCCCTGAAAGCCACCGCTACCCCGACGATGCATCTACGGGCTAGCCGCTTGGCTCCACGGGAGGAGGGGATGAGGGAGGCGGGGGGTACGATGGCTCCGGGGAGGGGGCAAGGTCAGCCAACATTGCACCTGGAAATCGGGCGGCATCGGGACGGATCAAGTCGCACGTCCCCCAAATCGGTGCCTGAGCAACTCCACCAAGGGCAACACTGGAAGGAAAGGAGGCATCTAGGCAGGATGGGGCTCGACCGCGGCAGGGCAAGATGGGAGAATACTTGCCACCAAAGTGATCATCGCAGCCAAGCTTCGTTTGCATATCCTCAGGCGTGCCGTTTTCAATCACGAACGTATTTTGTCAGGACGGAGTTAACTCAAGCAACCTGGATGAGAGGGCGGTCAAGCGGAGTCGGAGTCGGAGTCGGATGCATTGGCAGCTGTCTGCATTCGTTCCTCGATGCCCAGGCTGCTGGCTCGCTACAAGTGCTTTGCGGTAGGGGTCGCCTGCGGGACCCCTGGCTGTAAGGCCTTATGGTCCGCTTCAGCGCAGGGCCAAATCCCCAAACAACAAAAAAAACCTTTTTTCGGCGGGGGCTCAGGACCTTAAGGCCAATCACCCCCGACTCAGGATGTGTGCCTGCACTCGGCTGTGGTGCAAGGCCAGTCCGTACCCTCCCCCCAACCACTCCACTATCTACTAACAAGCCTCTAGATCGCTCGAGATTTTGGTCAAGGCCTGCTATGGCCAAGCACGACGAGATCAAGCGGAGGAGCACAAGGAGGCTCAGGGAAACGACTTCGGGGAGGGCACCTCATGTTAAATTTCGGTTTCACGCCCCCACTCTCCGAGAACCACACTGCCATCACGGGTCGATCACACCACACCACATAGAGGACCGCAACGCGCTCCTGTACAAGCCGTCCGCCCACAACATGTTCGGCTGCAATATCCTCATGGCGCGGCAGCAGTCTCGCAATGCAACGTGGCCGAGCCCGTCAAACAGAGCGCCTGTTTGGTCTGCAGCATGGTGCACCTGATAGGACGCGCGCCCTTCGAATGAAGATACCAACATGAAACTTCCTTGATTCTGCATGCGTGCGCACCGAACTCAATCCTCAACGCACCCAACATCGCCCCGCGCCCTCTGGCATTACAACATTTACATGGCACTGCCCATCCGCGAAACAGTTCCGAGAGCCGTCCCCTTTCGGCCAACTGGGCCGGTCGAGGAATGACCCTCCACCTGCACGTCGAACTGATGACAACAAAATCGTGGAACGAAGCTCGGACCAACGACCACGCCCGACAAGCAAAGGCTGGCTGAACTGGTTCTTGCTCAGGACCGCTCGGGGCCGACACATACGACCCCTGACGGAATCCAAAGACACGACTGGAATAGACTGGAATTCTCCGCCCCGTCTTCACGCGGGATGTCTCGGGCAGAATCGATGCGCGAGGGTCCCGCCAGGAGTCCTTGTCCTTGGCGCGCGACGTCGAACCCTTGTCCTCGTCCTTGTCCTTGCCGGGGATATCTCGGGCAGCATCGACCCGCGAGGGTCCCGCCAGGGAGTCCTTGTCCTTGTCCTTGCCCTTTCCAAGGATATCTCGGGCAGAATCGTGACACGACGCGCGTGTCGCTTGGCACGGTCCTTCGCGCTGCGAGTGCCCTCCCTCCTCTCTCCCTCCCTCCGCGGCCGCGCTCCGCCAGGGTCCCTCCCCTTCTTGCCGCTGGACAGGCAGTGCCTGTCATCGCTTGGCCCACCAGAGCGCGCGCGTGCTGATTGCCTCTGACGCGCCAGTCGGGCCGCTGAAAGAAGGAACGCCAAATATGGAAGGAAGCCCCTTCTTTGACCCCAAACCCGCCTGCGTGGACGAGGAACGCTGGAGAATAGCCATGGACGGACCTACCACATGTAAGGAACGTCGAGCCCCTTCCCACCCCGAACGGTTCCTCATTTCAGCGTCTTGGCTGTACGACGGACAAAATGTCAAGCGGCATGAAGAAATTGGGTCTGGAGGGCAACGGCTCCTGGGCCATGGGGCTTTCCCCCAGGACTAGTTCTGTACTCTGAACCGTTTTCTGACGGTCCTGGAGTTCGTGGAGAGCCCCAGGAACCCGACAACTGAAAAAACGTCTCTGGGACCCAATTCCCTCAAGACACATGTCGGGAGCGGCCAAGAGGGGGGTGTCCAAGAGGGGGGGGTGCAAATCATGACCGGCGGCAGGTGCGCGGCCCAGCGGGGGGGCCAGGGACGTAATGAAACAAGAAGAGGCGCCATGAGATCTGGGGAAATATCATGGCCCACGCCATGATATCCCCCCCCTAACCCACACAAGTCTTTAGAAATCCCCTGGCCAGTAGATGGAAAATAAATATCATTCGGGCGAATGTATTGACAACTCGGAAAAACGACCCCGCCAGACAATGGCGGAAAATGATTATAGTTCGGGCGGACCGACGACGAAGACGAAAACGAAGACGATAACGAGTACGTGTGCGATTGCGACTACGAATGTGCGCGGCGCTGAGGCGAGGGCTGCACTTTGAACAACACGAGCCCTCCATCCTTGAAGCTGTTGCAATATTTTAAGACGAGTGTGCGCGGCGCTGAGGCGAGATCTGCACTTGAAACTGTTGCAAGCTTTTAAGAAGAATGCGCGCGGCGCTAAGGCGAGAGCTGCACTTTGAGGAGGAGGAGAGCTTTCGGGAGCGGACGAGTTTCGGGACGAGTTTATTCACCGCCGAGAGCTCCAGGGGTGGGGGGGGGAGAGCAAAACTAAAGACTTCCTCAGGTTAGTCCTCACCCCCCTCTTTTCCGCCCCCGAACATGCCGCCACGACAGGTCAGGGACGCAGGCATGGCGCGCGTGTCCGCCGGTGCGGACGGCACGGCGCCCTGCCAGGCCCAAGAGGCCCGAGCGGTCGGCGCGGGGCCTGGTGCTGGACGTTGGCGTCAACAGTGTAAACAAAAGACAAGCGATGGCCGGGCGCGCCGACGAAGGGGGGCCTGGGAAGGGGGGGGGGAGGCAGCGCATCCGGGACCAAGGCACGCGCGCAGACGAGGTGGGTCTGCCAGGGGACCTCCTGGACGAGGAGGGGGGCGCCACGAGGTCTGAGAGGGATCTCGCGGCCCCGGCCATGACATCCCACCCCTTTGGACGCCGTCGTCGCTTCGCTTGTCCCCCCCCCAGTGTGTGTTTCCAGAGCGCGGGCGTCAGGGCCTCGACGGGGCGCTGCCGCAGGCGGCCCTGGAGCCCCGATGGCCTCAAGGGCGCTCCTCCCCAGGCCCACGGAAACCGATGGGTTCCGAAGTGGCGGCAAAAGCTTGGGGCATATTTGGTTGTTTTATGTTTTCTGTTTGTTGCTGTATAGTATTATTACTATTATTATTATTATTATTATTATTATTATTATTATTATTATTATTATTATAGTTATTATTATATGTATTACTATTATCATCATAATCGTCTTTATTATCACTATTATCATGATTCGTATTATTATTGGTATTTTATAAAATGTATATATATATATATACATCATTTGTTTGGCTTCTCTCTCTCTCTCCATCTTTTGTTGTTTTTTGTGTTTGTCTCTCTCTCTCTCTCTCTCTCCCTCTATTATGCTCTCTCTCTCTTGCTCTTTCTCTCGCTCTCTGCTCTCTCTCTCTCTCTTTCTCTCTCTCTCTCTCTTTCTTTGACCTCTCTCTCTGTCTCTCTCTCTTGTTTTCTCTCTCTCTCTCTCCCTCTCCTGTCTCCCCACCTTATCTCCCGAGGCCTTGGGAATCCGAACAGATCCGAAGTGGCGCGGAAATGCGGGGGCCATCGCCCCATCTCTCTCTCTCTCTCTCTCCCTCCCTTTCCCCGTCTACTCTCTCTCTCTCTTCCTCTCTCTCTCCCTCTCGTTTGTTATCCCCGTCTCTCTCTCTCTCTCTCTCTCTCTTTCTCTCTCTCTCTCTCTCTCTCTCCTCTCTCTCTGTCTGTCTGTCTATATGTTTGTCTGTCTGTCTGTCTGTCTGTCTACCTGCCTGTCGGTCTGTCTGTCTGTCTGTTTGTCTGCCTGCCTGCCTGTCTGTCTGTCGGTCAGTCAATATGTCAACCTGTCTGTCTGTTTGTCTCTCTCCTTCCCTCTCTCTCTCTCTCTTTCCCTTTTTCTCTACATCAATATGTCCCCCCCACACCACTTAGAACCGCCCTTCCCCTTTGCCCCCCGAAACTTGGCCGACTCCCCCGCGAAAGCCCCCTTTCCTCCGTCTCCCTCGCACCCCCCCGTTCCACTCTGTCTTTGTCTTTGTCTCTGTCACTGTCTTTGTCTGTGTCTGTGTCTGTATCTTGCTTTGTCCCTCTTTCTTTGTCCTTCTCTCTTTTCCTCCCTCTCTCTCTCTTCCTTGCTCTTCCTCTCTCTCTCCCTCTCTCTCTCTCTGTCATTTGTTGTTCTCTCTCCCCCTCTCTCTCACTCTTTCTCTGTCTCTTTCCCTCTGTCCCTCTCTCTCTCTCTCTCTCTCTCTCCCTCTAGAGAGAGCGCCGGCCCTGACAGTCGCCAGGCAGCGAGCGACCGAGGGTCGGAGCGTTCAGCGGAATGCCAGATGCACTACGTCGGCGGGTGAGAATTAGCTCGCCCGCCTCCAATCGGTAGGCGGGCAACGCCTACCTCCCTTGTGGGCACCGCAGATTGAACGCCTCCCTCTCTGCCTCGCTCGCGCGGGGATGCTCAGGAAAGAGGGCCCGCGAGCAGCAGAACGATCCTCGGAACCGTCGGAGGAGTTGCGCGCTTCTCCGGGACATTGCCCCCCCCGCGCGCGGGCGCCACCCGAGGGCGTTTCCGCGCGTTCCCGCTCGCTCGCGGCGCCCAAGGGCACGCCCCGGGGACGCTCGCGCGCGTGCCCGCTCACGCGCGGCCCTGGCGCCCCCCGAGGGCGCTCTGGTGCGCGCCCGCTCGCGCGCGGCGCACCCTGGCGCGCCCCTATGGCGTTTTCGTGCGCGCCCGTTCGCGCGCGGTGCACCCTGGCGCGCTCCGAGGGAGACTCCGCGCGCGTCCGCTCGCTCGCGGCGCACTCTGGGTCGCCCCGCGCCATCGCGCTCGGCGCACTCTGGCGCGCCCCGAGAGCACATCCGCGCGCGTCCGCGCGCGCGGTGCGCGGCGTTCATGGGCGCGCCCTGAAGGTGCCCCCCTGCGCCCCCGCTCGCACGCGGCGCACGCTGGCGCGCCCCGAAGGGTCTCGCGCGTGACTGCTCACTCGCGGCGCCCAAGGGCACGCCCCGAGGACGCTCGCGCGCGTGCCCGCTCGCGCGCGGCGCACCCTGGCGCGCCCCGAGGGCGCTCCAAAGCGTGCCCGACCGCGCGCGGCGCACCCTTCTGGACGCCCGAAATGGGTACCGAAAGAATGGGTGAAATGCCCAACAAGAATTCCTGTTCATTTTGAACAGGATTCGCTGTCCGCGCCGCCGCAGCCTGTGCCCATTCGAGACAGAAGGTCGCCTGCCCAACAGCGGCCGCTGTTGCTTTGGGACAACATTTGTTGTTGGGCATCGTGCCCATTCTTTCGGTACCCATGTCGGGCGTCCAAAACCCTGGCACGCTCCTGGCGCGCTCTCGCGCGTGCCCGCTCTTGCGCCGTGCACCTCCGCGCGCTTCGCAGGCGCTTCCGCGCGCGCCCGCTCGCGCGCGGCGCGTCCCGGCGCGCGCCGAGGGCGCGCTCGCGGGAACCCGCTCGCAAGCGGCGCGCGCTGGCGCGCCCCGGCGGCTCTCTGCGAGAGCCCGCTCGCGCGCGGTGCTCGTGGGCGCGCCCTGACGGCGCTCGCGTGCGCGCACGCTGGCACGCGGCGCTCACGGGCGCGTCCTGAATGCATCATTGTGCGCCCCCGCTTGCACGCGACGCGCTTTGGCGCGCCACCCAGGCCTATCTCGCGCGAGCCCGCTCGCGCGCGGCGCAATCTGGCGCGCCCGAAAGGCGTTCCCGCGCGCGCCCGCCGCTCGCCCGCGGCGCTCTCTGCTGACGTCTTCTCATGCAGCCCCCGCTCCCCCCTCTTCCACCCCCACGCGGAGTCTGCGCGGCGACTGCGGCTGACGTCTTTACACACGCCGACATCGGCGCGAGGTTGCTAATTGGCGCCGCGCGCCAACCCCCAGCGCAATGCGTCGCGCTCCAAGAACGGGCCAAGCACGCGACGCGCGAGTCATCTCCCGCGCACCGGCGCGAACAGCGCGGCTGCAACCGACGTCGTCTCACGCATCCCCCTCCCGCGCGGTGGCGATGGAGCGATAGCGTGCGTTTGCGACGCCGCTGCGGCGCAACCGCAGGGGCACCCGCGCGCACTCGCACATCGCCAGCCGCGCAGCGAGGCGCCATCCCGCCTGGCGCTGCACGCCCACCGCCGCGCGAACATGGTTTGCCGAGAAAGCTGCCGACGCCGCGCGGGGAGTTCTCCTGCGTGCGCCAGAGCGCTCGCCAGACGCGCGCGGACTTGGACTCGCGCCGCACGCCGGCCCCGGCGCGATACACTGCGTTCCGAGGCTGGGTTCCCCAGGCCGCGCGCGAGCCGCCGCGTGCGCGCGCGAGCGCTACCCAGGCAAGCAAGGAAGCTGCTCGGCGCCGCGCGCCGACTCCAGCGCAGACAGTGTCGTCGCCGAGCCAGTCGCCGACGCGGCGCGCCTGCAGCCTGCATGGCGCCGCGCGCCGACCCGAGCGCCGAGAGGTTCCGCCGTCGAGAATGCGCTGCTGTGCCACCGCGCAAAACGCGACGCGCGCTCGAGGTCTGGCCAAAAGGCCGTTTCGGTTTTCATCGCCGGGCGATGGTGCGAGACTCACAACCGCGGAGCGATTCCCCGTGGATGTGCATCGCCACTCTACTTCGGTTGCGCGGGGGGGCGCGCTCGGAGAGGGAACTGACTCTGGGGCGCAGCCGAGGCAGGGTGGCGGGGTTGGGTCGCGGGCATCGCGAAGCGCGCACAGGAACAACCCACTTCCCACAATCCTGTTTGGATGGGAGGATGCGCGCGCACTCCGCAACAACACTTTGTCTCTCTCTCTCTCTCTCGCCCACCCATCGCCTGGCTGAATCGCGCGGCGGTGGGACGCCCAACAGCAGGGCACCACCATCATCAAGTGGAAGCAGATCACAAACGCACGTGCCCGTCGTGCAAGCAGGGCGGTGACCGCCACAAACGGCCTCACGACTAACGCCCAGTAACGGGGAACGGGATTCAAATCGCCCTCCCCCTGCTACCTCCCTTCTGGACAAAAAAGGAAAGCAGGATGATGATACGTCCGTGTGCGGGTGAACCCTGAACCTCTGAGACCCAGCGGGGATGGAGAATGCCGCGGCCGTTTCTGGGCGGCGCCGAACGCTCTGAGAGCTCGCTTCGATGCTGTAGGTTGATCCTCGTCGTAGGCCTGCCTGGTTTGGGCCCGCGCAGATGTATCGGATCGGCGCTGAACCCCACCCTCCTCCTCCTCCTCCTCCTCCTCCTCTTCTTCTCCTTCTTCTTCGTCTTCGTCTTCTTCTTCTTCTTCCTCCTCCTCCTCCTCCTTCTCCTCCTCCTCCTCCTCCTGGCGCGCGGAGCGCGCCACGGGCGGCGCCCGAGGCGTGGCCGGGAGGGCCCCAACGCCGACCCGAGAAATCCATGCGGACCTCCCAGCGCTCATGTCAATCGTGCTCTCTAGTATCGGGAGCGGCCAAGAGGGGGACGTCCAAGAGGGGGGGGGTGCAAATCATGACCGGCGGCATGTGCGCGGCCCAGCAAAGGGGGCCAGGGGCGTAATGAAGTAAGAAGAGGCGCCATGACGTCTGGGGAAATCTCATGGCCCACGCCATGATATCCCCCCCCTAGTCAGCACCCCCCTCTTTTCCGCCCCCGATCTAGTATTCGGTTGGCTCCTCCCCATCCCCCGCGGGCGCAGGCGCGCAGACATGCCGGCTGCATCACCACTGCGAGAAACCAAGAAGTCCCTCTCTCGGGCGGATTCGCCGAACAATCGACCTGGTAGGGTGGGGTATCTACCAATATCCGACCCCTCCCGCTTCCTCCCTGGCAGGCGCCCGGTTCCCCCCCTCCCTTTCCAACCCTCGACCCCTCCAGCACCAGTGCGCGCGTGAGCTGGATGACACCCCACGGCACGGCCGCGGCGCCCTCGTCCCCCAGGCACCTGGGGAACGGTCAGCGGGTGGTCAGGATGGGGAGGTGGTTCGAGGAGGAGGAGGAGGAGGAGGAGGAGGCGAGAGGGATTAGGAGGGGTTACGTATGGGGAGGAGGGCGGGGGGAAGGAGGAGGATAAGGGGCGATCAGGAGGAAAAGGCGAGGACGAGGATAATGAGGGAGGGAACATGAGGAGGCGAGAGGGAGAAGGAGGTAATGCTGATAATGAGAACGACAGAACGATTAATGCCAGGAGGAAACGGATGACCAGGATGAGGGGACTAGGAAGAGAAGGTGAGGACAATGAGGAGAGGGAGGAGGGGCCCCATCCCACTCTTCCCATCCCCAAGTCTGCAACCCCACTCCTCGCCTGATTCCCTCAACATTATCGCAACTCCCCATCTCCGCGCCTCATCCGCGCTTCCAGATCTCGTGACTTTCTCGGTTTGCCCTCTCCTCCTCCTCCTCCTCCTCCTCCTCCTCCTCCTCCTCCTCCTCCTCCTCCTCTTCCATCTGCATCCGTTGTGATCCCCCTTGTCCTCCTCTTCCCACCCCTCCCGCAGATGCTGCCCCCCCCGCAGACGCCAGGTCGGGCAGCAGTCGGACTGGGGCCCAGTCGCAGACATGGCGGTCGTGGCGCTGGCGGTCTCCCCCTCTGCCCTCGCCCCTGCCGTGCCCCCCCCGCTGGCTGCACGCACACGGGGGTGGCCTCCTGGGGCCGGACGGCGCTTCAAACGGCCTCCCGGCCCCCAAGACGCCCTCTGAAAAGGCCCTGCCCCTCCTCCTCTCCTCCTCCTCCTCCTCCTCCTCCTCCTCCCTCCTCCTCCTCCTCCTCCTCCCTCCTCCTCATCCCTCCTCCTCCTCCTCCTCCTTCTCAGAAGCTCGCGACTTCTGAGAAGGCCTCCCCCCTGGCCCCCCCTTTTGCACCCGCTGCCGGACCAACGGGGAAGACCCGCTCTCTCCACAGAAGACGTCTGCAGTGACCGTGCTGCCTGAAGGACCGCTAACTCAGGAACGCAGGGGCTTCTCCAGGCACACCGATCCTCGGCCACGAGCACTCCATATCCTTCAATGAGCACCCCCCCCGTGCCAACCTGTCCGACGCCCCTTGCCCGCCCCCCCGGGGCGCCCCAAACCCACCCCCTTTCGCTCCCCAATCTCCCCACGCCCCCCGAAGGACAGCGGTTTCCCACCCCCCCACGAGATCCCCCCCACCCACGCTTGTTGAGAGACCTGGAATAGGTTTCCCGACCTGGATCTAAGGAACGGCCCGGATGCCGGAGCCCCTCCTGAGCTGAAAGCGGCCCTTCTTTCAGCGTCTTGACTGTGTCCTTTGACCCAGTGCTGGTGCGACCTGCTGCATGCGCGCCCCGCTGTGGGGGTCTCTGGGGCACTGCACTTGCTGCGGGGGGAAGGCACTGCTGCAACCGCTGCTGCCTCTCCTCTTTGTTTGTTCCCGCTCTCTCTCTCTCTCTCTCTCTCTCATTCCCTCGCATTCACTTACTCTCTCTCTCTTTCTCATCTCTCTCTCTCTCTTTCTCATTCTCTCTCTCTTTATCTCTCTCCGTGTAAGACGAAGCCAGGGCGATAATAACATCGGGGGAGGATGCATCGGGAATCTCTGAGATCTGGCGGTTCTGGCAGATGTGTCGGGCGCCGCGGCCTCAGAGCGTTCCGAAACGCTCTGAGAGCAATCCAGAACGCTCTGGAATGGATTTATCCTCGTCCTAAAACACGGGCGTACTTTAAAACAGTCCCCGAGGACTGTTTTCATAAGTTTCGTCATTTCCATGTTAGGATTAGCCCCGTCAAATCTCTCTCTCTCTCTCGCTCTCTCTCGCTCTCTCTCTCCCCGTGCCCTCCCACTCCGTGGCGGCGCGCGAAAACTAACCCAGGCGGTTCCAGGACTCAGGACGTGGCCTCCCAAAGAAAAGCATGAGGGTCTTCTAGACGGGATCGGACCCCTTTCCACAGGCTTCCGAGGAGGGCCTCCTGAAAAAGCAGGGGGGCTCCTGAGAAGCGGGGGCCTGCTTTACAGGCCGTCCCCCTTGCCCCGCCCACTTCTGCGCGCCGCCGAGCCCCGCCCCTCCGTCAACCGCCCCGCTGACTACCTACCAGACCACCCCAACCCCACCCGAAGACCCGCAGTTCGGGTTGGGGGGTACGGGCTTTGCGTTTTTTTCACTGTTCCCCGAACCCCCCCCACTCGGGTGTTGCTAGAAGTGCCCCTGGCCCGAGGTGCCCCCAGCTCTTCGCTTCATTTTGGAGCCCCGGAGGCTCTCTGGGCCTCGTGAGGCGTGCCCCGGAGGCCGTTTGGGCCACCCCGAAGGCTCTGGGGGTATACCTTGGGCCAGGGGTATACTTCTAGCAGCACCCGACCCACTGTACATGGAGGGCAGATCGGGGCCTTCGGGTTGGGTTGGTTGGGGGAAAACAAACCTACCTCGCTTTTGACCACCCTCGCTTCCAAGAGATACCAAACGATACCAAACTACGGCCTGCGCTGTTCAGGCCGCTTGACGAGGAGGCGCGTGGCATGACTTGGTTTTGCCTGGAAGCGAAGGCGGGGGAGGTAACTCACGCTCTGAGTTGGGGTGGCCTGGTGGGCGGTGACCCCGCTCTCCCCGGGCGGCGCCCCCGAGCACCCGCTGCGGCCAAACGCCTCCAGGGCGCGGGCCTCGGGGCGGAGGCACCCCGCCCGCCCGGCTCGGGCGGACCCCACCGGCCGGGCCTCTCCGACCGAACTGCGGGCCCCGAGAACATACACCACCACCACCACCACCTCCGTTCCTCCTCCAGCCTCCTCTTCCTCTCCTCCTTCCTGGGAGAGGGAGGGGGTGAGAGAGGTGGTGGTGGTGGTGGTGGTGGTGGTGGTGGTGGTGGTGGTGGTGGTGGTGGTGGTGGTGGTGGTGGTGGTGGTGGTGGTGGTGGTGGTGGTGGTGGTGGTGGTGGTGGTGTATATTCTTGGGCCCCGTACGAACAGCCCATCGCGCGGGGCGACCCCGACTGGATCATCCCGGTCGACGGCGACGCCCCTGGGAGGCGGGATCTGCCACGCTCGAGAGTCGCGCAGGCCGGGCGGTGGCTCGTCGCGCAGTGGCCATCCCGATCGGCGGCGGCTCCCAAGCACAGCACTGGCAAGCTGGACCAATCACAATTCAGGACAAGACCAAGTCCCAAGGCCCCCCCCCCGCCGCCGCCACGGCTGCCCCCCCTCCGACTGCCCTTCTCCCGTCGCTCCCGCCTGCCGGCACCTGGCAAACGAGACCAAGGACCCCGCGTGGACATGGACCCACAAACGGGCTCGCCGACTGAATGTCCCGGTGAGCCCTCCTCCTCTGCTGCAGCAACCGTCGTGCACCGCAATGTTGCCGCCCTTTTTACTGCTGCTCCTGCTCCTGACCCTCTTGCTCGCTTCTATGTCTTCCGGCACAACACCCCTTGACACGTTGAAGCTTGGTATAATGCCAAGGGCTGTTTGGTATTATTGTCATCTTCCAAAAGAGCGCATCCTCTCCCACCCTGGGTCAGCGCTCAGCCGCATGCGTCGCCCTCCTCTATCATTATAGAAACGATCAGCTCGATGGATTCACGATGGACCATGCGTTCCCGAGACGATCAACTTCAAAAAGGGTCCGTGCTCCCGAAGCCACGCTCCCGCGTTGAAAAAACAGCGTCTGAGCTGCCGAGACAACGTTCTTTCGAAATCCAAAACGATGGGTCTGCGACCCCGAGCTTCCGAGAAATCGAAAAACCGATCGCGGCCTAGAGTCCACATCCGATGATTCTATCATACCACTTACCAAACAGTGGTATCGATTAGGACTTGAGGCGGGCGAGCATTTTCACCCCGAAGGTATACTGGTGGGCGTCAGATTGTACAGGGCAACGATCGTGCGTATTGTATGCGCGCGGCTTGAGCAGATGCGGGTCAGAACATATCCCTGCTCCCCGTTACCTCTTTATACAAATTGAGAGGAGGGGGATGCGGGTGCATACACCCACTAACATGATTATCGTAAACCATCAAATTACAAGCTTGGTGATGGGACAAATAAGGTCGACTAAGTTCATGTTACACTGAGTTCCGCCACCGTGTCTCTGCCACGAAGTCGAGTGCCGCAAGGGTCATGCAACCCTGAGGGGTGGAAAATTTGTAAGTTTCTCAAGGGGCAAGGTCCCGGGCGCTCTCTGGCGGTACTGGGCGCAGCCGAAGAGTCCTCCAAGAGGACCTAAAAACGGCCCAAGAGGGCCCCAAGACGGCCCAAGAGGCCTCGAAGACAGCCCACGGTGTCCCCAAGATGGCTCCAAGAGGGGGTCCAGAAGGGAGGACCCGAACGGACACTTCGAGCTCTCGGCCCCGAGAGGCTCCCAGGAGGCCCGCAAGAAGCCCCTAAGAGGCCCAGTTAAGCCCCCTAAGAGCCCTCAGGAAGCCCCACGAGGCCCCCAAGACGCTCCCAATAGGCCCTCTGGAGGCTCCCAAGAGGCGCCCAAACTGCCCTCCTCCACAGGCACCCGAGAGCGCTCCGAAAAGACCCCAAGAAACATCCCTGAGCGCCATGACCCACAACCCGGGCAGGGCTGCGGGGTGGGCCGAAGGCCATTGGATCCGCCGCCCCTAGTTGATTTGTAACAGGGATGCCCCGCGAGTCCGCGTGCCAGATGTCTGATGGTTCTGGTTATGTTTGAGACTCCCCCCGAGGCTTCGGCCCGACGCGCCGGCCTCAAGACAAATCCTCCAAGACGGCTCAAGATGCCTCCAAGATGGAGACGCTGGCCCAAGATGGCTTCAAAGATTGCCCAAGAGGGTCAAAGATGCCACCAAGTCCGCCGATGAAGGCTCTAAGACGGCCCAAGAGGCCTCTAAGACGGCCAGAAAGACCTCCAAGAGACCCTCCAGGAGGGCCCGAAGAGGCCAAATCATTGTTTCCCCTTTGACTCTTGAAAGATATTTCGGCTTTTGCTTCTATTCGGCCTTCCGACTACCCAAGACGGCCCAAGAGGTCCCGAGGATCACCCCAAGATGACCCCGAAGGCCTCCCAGATGACCCCACGACGGCCCAAGACGCCTCCAAGACGGCCCCGAAAGGACCTCGAGAAGGCCCACGAGGCCTCCAAGACGCCCAAGATGGCCTCCAAGATGGATCTGAAACGCTCCAGGAAGGCCCAAGGCCGGTTCGGGAATCGGGCCGGGCGAAAGGTAGCAAAGGGGGGGGTTGAGAATCAGCTCGCGTAGCTGATTTTCCCGGCGCCTCCCGGCGCCGGGAGGCGCCTATGTATCGAGGAATGGGCCCGGCGGCGGGGCCGAAACCAGCTGCATGCAGCAGATTTCGTAACCCCACCTTTCCCTATCCCCCCCTTTCGTTCGGCCCGATCTTGGTCCACGGGCATCTCCACTGCATCTTACAGCGCAAGCGGTGCACGCGTGCTTGAGCTTGCACTTTTCAAAATTCCTTTTCCGTCGGAAATGCATCGCCGTCGAACTTCCAATCTAGCCCGGCCGTGCGCAGACCATTAACAAGATGTCAACTTCAGCATTCAATACGTGCGATTAAGCCTGCTATGCCTGGCCGCGCTTCTAAGGTAAAACGAGAATGCTCACGGTGCATCCTTGGCCCGTGTGCCAGGTTGGAGGCATTGCAGGTAATGCGTGTTTTCATCATACGGAGAGAAGCATGGGAGAACGCGCAGGACTGCGGCGCTCCTGGGAGGTAAGATGACCTCCCGGGCGGCCAAGAAGGCCACATGGCGGCCCAACTCAGCTCGAGGAGGGCTCGAGGGGGCTTAAGGGACTCCCAAAACTGCCCACCAGGAGCCCAAGACGGCCCAAATGACAAGCATGAGAGCTTCTCGAGAAATGAAGACGAAACGATCACATGTGACGATCCTTTTGCTCTTATTCCACCACTCTTTCTCAGCAACATCACCAAAGATCATCTTGCTCCTCTTCTTCCTCCTTCTCCTCAATAGATTGATCCACTCCCTCCTCTTTCTCGCCCCATCCTCATGATCGTTTCCTTTATCCTCACAATGCGCCCCAAGACGACCTGAAACGATCTACTATCAAATCAGAACGGCCAACCTATAACATGTGGCGGCTTTCTGACTTCCGCTCCAACCATCAATGCATTATATACCTCTAACGCCGCTCGATTCATATGTTGCAACTCCCTGTCGCCACTCGAACAATTACCTCCGAGAGTACTGGGCTGGCTCGGAGGCGGGACCTACCTCAGGTAATTGGATACGATGCCTAGGCCCCCGGCGGCTCCTCTCTACTCCAATCTCTCCCCATTTCCACTCCTCCTTCTCATCCCCCTCATTTCTCCTCATCCTACTTATCGCCCTTATGATCATGTGACCTCCTCGTCCTACGGTCGATTCCTCCTCCTCTCAGCTCCCTTCAACTAGCCTCCAGCTCCAGCTTCCCCTCCGCATCCTCCCCCAGTCTCCGACCTCCTCCTCGCCCTCATCCTCAATCAACCTCCTTGAAACAAGTGGCACGCGTGTTCTGGCTCTTGCACCGAGGAGCTGCGAAGGACAGGCGGCTTTCGCCTCCTTCCTCCGGAAATTTCCTTCTGTGGCCGGGGGGGAGGACGACCGACGAACGACGAACGAACGACGAACGAAAGTAAAGAGGTCCGGGCTCTAGAACACAGCTGTGCAAGATAATTAACAAGTGCGAGCTCTAGAACACAGCGGTCAAGGCCAGGGGGGCCAGGGGAGAGGACGGGGGGGAGAGCGAGGGGGGCTGGGTCCAGGGCAAGGGCAGGGGGGGAGGGCTGGGTCCAGGGCCAGGCCAGGGGGCCAGAGAGGCCCGGGGGGGTGGAGTGGGGGGGGGGCGGGCAGGGAGGCCATGGGGGGAGAGGGCGATGGGGGGCTGGGTCCAGGGCAAAGGCAGGGGGGGAGGGCTGAGTCCAGGGCAGGCCAGGGGGCCAGGGGGGAGGACGAACGGCGAACGAACGAACGACGACGACGAACGATGAACGCGAACAACGACAACGAAACTAAGGAGGCCTGGGGGGGGAAGGGGGGGACGACGAACGGGAGGCCAGGGGGGGAGGAGTGGGTTAGGGAGATTAGGGGGGGAGAGCGAGAGGAGCTGGGGAGGGCTGGGTCCAGGGCAAGGCCAGGACGGCCAGGGGACCACGACGAAAATAAACAGGTCCGAGCTCTAGAGCAGAGCTGTGCAAAATAATAATCGCCATGACCGCCGTCGTCACCGTGGTGCGAGTCCAGCTGGGGCCCAGGCAAGAGCAGCGGGAGGGAGCGCGGCGGCGTTCTTGACCAGCCGAGGCGCCAGCGCCTGACTCGGCAGGGTAATCTCAAGGAGCTCCCATCTGCCCTCTCACCCCTCCCCATCTCCCTCCCGTCCTTTTTCTCCCTTCCTCTCCCTGTTGCCTCCCAGAACTCGCGCCGCACCCGACTAGCGCCGGGCGCGAGCGGCCGTTGGTCGGAGGGTCCAGCGGAGCGCCAGACGATTGACGGGCCGGGCGAAGCTAAGCTCGCCGAGCCCCCAATCGGCGCAAGGAGGCGGACGGCGCAGACAAACTCCTGGTGG